AACAAGTCCGTCACCGGTTCTCATCCAGACCGTGATCACACGAGGCTTCAGTAAAGCCACAAGGAGCTCCACTGCTCACAAGTCTGAGCATTAATGATGTTCAGTGGAACTCTGAGCATCGGGTCAAACAGAGCTGAACTCCCTTACCCAGCAGCAACCAGAACCAGAACCAGGCGTCCATGTTGATCCCACGTAACACAATCCAGTTTACCACAGCGGCAGAAGTCTAACGGCAGGAAGTGATGTCGTCCGTTCAGGATGAATCCAGGCTCGGCTTTAGTTCAGCTCCGGTTCTGCTGGACTTGATGCAGCGTTCTGAAACAACAACGAGTCTGCAGCTGCTTATGGATAAATCACCTGCGAAGGACTTTGATTATCAGAGGCGTGAAAGGTCCTAAATTAATAAACCATGAAGCATTTCTTGGAAGGAAGGTGGAGCTCATAAAGACGGCAGTAAATCTGAACTTTATCATCTTATTGGCTGTAAATCTGTAAAGCTGTGACTGGATCCAGATGTTGTGGTTGTTCTGTTTGGAGGAGTTTATCGGTCAGACCCTGAACTTCCACCTGCAGCCTCCTCAGACCTCTGATCTGCCTGACGATCAATACGTTGCTCCCAAACAAACGGAGTCCTCACGTCGATGATCCAAAAGCTGTTTTCAGTCATTTCACTTCTGTACTTTGAGAAAAGAACAGAGCTGATTGAATCCAGACATGTTAGTTGTTGTTGTGTCCATGAATGGATCAGTTCTACTTATGATGGAGGATGTTGTGTTGCACACTTTATCTGTTCAGATGCATTTTATTGACGCTTTTGGACGTTCAGTAATTCTTCATTTGTTCAGAAGTTGTGGCTTCCAGCTGGTCATGTGACCATAAACTGACTCTGTTTTTAGCCTGATGCCGGACTGAGGATGTTGTGCTGACCTTTAACCACCAAACGAGACCAGAACCTGCTGTAAAGTGTTGCAGCGCCACCTTGAGGACCAGCGCCGTGGCCCAGCTGACGACCTCCGTCCTTCTCCGTTAATGATTGCAGGCTGGTGCTGCAGGGCTCTGGATGGATCAGTGCTTCCATCATGGCTCAGCTGGTCGAATGTGTCCCCAACTTCTCCGACGGTCGCAGCAAACAGGTCAGCAGCTCTAAACAGAGTCTAACGGCACCTTTCTAACGCTTCCATCTCCTGTTCACGCAGCAGCTTCACAAACCGTCGGCTTCGTAGGAAATCTGAGATGATTGTGTGAAAAAGTGAGAAATGTGTTCTGGACTCTGCCTTTCCTCTTGAACATGAGCTCGTTAGAGGTTTGCATTCTTGTGTTTGGTATTTAGATGATTGACACCTTTGTGAGTCTGTCTGTTCGTATTCATGTTTTTGTCCCTTTCTGCCTTCACATCAAGGTTTGACCTTTTAGTTCATTGATTTCCAGGTTTTTGGTCCTTTGTGAGGACGTTTCCTGATGAGTCAGTTTTGTACGTGAATATTTTGGGTCTTGACACTGAAAGTCTTTTGAATCTCGGCTTTAAGCCCAAACGAAGCCTCGAGCTGGTTCAACTGATGAAGAACCGACATGGAATTAATTATTACATGAAGAGAGAAACGTCTGTGACCGTTGACCTGCTGCAGGTTTTCTGTTTAACCACCAAACACACTGTCAATGATCTTCTGTCCGGCTGCAGCTTTCACAACAGTTCAGCTGAAGCCTCGTTCACTTTGTCTGCTTTGAAGCACTTCTAGTGTTCAGACTGAGGAACAGAATCCACTGAATGACCCGAACCACTGTTTGCTGGAAACGATGTGACGACTGAAGGCTGGACAGATGAAGAACCTCCACAAGAAAAGTGTTCGGACCTGAAACTCTGACTCTCCTCACAAAGTCTGTTGACAGAAAATCAGTCCCTTTATCTCAGCGCTGGGAGAAGAGTCATGTAATGAGATTACTTGTAATCAGAGTAGAGTTCAGTCCATTCGTGTGTATGTCGGTGCTGTTGTGCATTAAAGTCCAGCGTTCGTGTCCAAGTCTGGAAGCAGGTTCTGTTCAGTCGGTGAAACTCGTCATAGCTGCAGACAGAAACAGGATTCGGCTCCTGACAGCAGATTTCTGTGCGTCCAGGTGATCGATGCCATCTCGGCGGCCATCTCCAACACCTCCGGCTGCAGCCTGCTGGACGTCGACCCTGGAGCCTCCACCAACCGAACCGTCTACACCTTCGTGGGCTCTCCGGAGGCGGTGGTGGAGGGAGCGCTGAACGCCGCCCGGCAGGCCTTCAGCCTCATCGACATGAGCACACACTCAGGTGATCCAGCCGGTCTCGGGACTGAAGCATGACCCAGTTCAGTTTTTTAAAAAGTTGCAACGAGGCTGAATATGAGCACGTTTTTGGGTCTGTTTTCTCACTGAGTGGTTCTTTGTTTCTGAGACACCAGATTGTCTTTCAGGACTTGAGTGTTTTACCTGTGCTTGGTGTTCAGGTGAGCATCCTCGGACCGGAGCGCTGGACGTTTGTCCATTCATTCCCGTCCAGAACGTCACCATGGACGACTGCATCCGCTGTGCAAACCTGTTTGGGCAGAAGCTGGCCGAGATGCTGCAGGTTCCTGGTGAGACGCTCAGATGCTGCTGGTTTGTTGCTGTAAAAACCGATCAGGACCAAAAACTTTTTGTGTTCATTTTGTGTCTCGTTGTGGATATTGTGTGTTTTGGTTCATCCTCAAACATTCATGGAGCTTCTAGAAACATCATCAACACCTTCTGCCCTCATGCAGCCCCGCATCATGATGCTGCCACCTCCATGCTTCACTGTCAGGACCATGATCCACTGTGGTGGTCCTGGTCAGGTTCACACCAAACATCTGGACTCCATGTGAGCCCAACACATTGATCTCCATCTGACCAGAGGATGTTCTCCAGCATCCATCAGGCTTCTGTTCATGTTCTCTGGTGAACTTTGATGTGGAAGTTTAGTTAGGAGGACGGTCACTGCAGTCCTGATTGGTGGTGCTACGGATCCTTCTAGACCTAGAAGGTCTGACTAGTGGTGCTATGGATCCTTCTAGACCTCCTGATTACTGCTGACACCGTGGTTCCCGTCTACAGTCTGCTGTAAAATAAAATCCCCAGAAACATTTAAAAGACGGTTCTGGGGGTTTCAGTTCTGCTCTTGCTCCTTAAAAGCACAATAAACAGGATTTACCAGCCTTTACGTGAACAGTATTTGTCCTTTGGCTCTTCCACAGTGTATCTCTATGGAGAAGCAGCTCGGACTGAGTCCAGGAGGAACCTCCCGTCGGTGCGAGCCGGAGAGTACGAAGCTCTACCTGACAAGGTGAAGCACAGATCCTGCCTCGTCCTTCAGCTCAGCGCTTTCACCACTTTCCAGATTTCTGAAACGTGTTCCCTTGAAAACACTGAATGTCAGAATGTCAGCGGTCACAGTTTGCTTCGGTTTCACGGTTTGTTTTCAGCTCAGATGTTCTGAATGGGCTCCTGACTTCGGTCCCGCTGTTTTCGTACCATCGTGGGGCGCCACGGTAACCGGCGCTCGCAAGTTCCTCATCGCCTACAACGTGAACCTGATCAGCACCAAAGAGCAAGCTCATCGCATCGCTTTGGACATCCGGGAACAGGGCCGAGGGAAGGACCAGGTCCGTCAGAACCGTCAGCGCTGTGATCGAGTGCTGTCTGTTTTTTCTGGCGTTTTAATTTCCTTCTATCTTCGTGTTTTTTGCTGTTTTACTTTTGTTCTCTGCTTTAATTTGTAATTTTTCTGTGAATTTTCCTGATTTCTGTTGAGAACTTTTAAAAGTTTTAGAAGATTGTTATCTGACATTTGTCATCAAAAAACAAAACATTTTTAATAACTTTTTATTCAGATTTTCTTTTTCTTGTTAAAGCAGTTCCGTTTTTTCTTTGCCTTTCTCTGATTTGTTTTTTCGTGATTCTTTTCTCCAAAATGGTACCGTGTGTTTTTTCTAAATTGGTTTTAGACAATTTTTTGAATTAAAAACAAAAAGTTACTTTTTAGGTTCATCTTCAGACTCTTTGTTTGTTTCTTTTCAGAGTTTCATTCTTTGATTTTTCCAGATTTCTTTTTGTGTCAAAAACTTTCCAGATATTTTCCAAGGTGGTTTCATGAGCACTGCAGTGATTTGTGGTTCTCTTGTGGTTCTCTTGTGGTTCTGCTGTGGTTCTGCTGTGGTTCTGCTGTGGTTCTGCTTGTCCCCGGTGTTGGACCAGCCCGGCCTGCTGCAGAAGGTCCAGGGGATGGGCTGGTACCTGGACGAGGCCAACATCGCTCAGGTGTCCACCAACATCCTGGACTTCGAGCTGACGCCGCTGCACAGCGTCTTCGAGGAAATCTGCAGAGACGCTGAGGTCAGTTAGAAACACTGGAACACGTATGTTAACATGAACAGAACANTTTTTTTTCAACATTTCAAGTAACGGTTTCATTGCTGTTCTGTACAACTTTAAAGAGACGGTCTTAGGAGGTCAAGTTTGAGTTTGAGTTTCAGTCAAACCTAACTACTTCGGCTAAAACACAACAAATGCTGGTTAACATGTGAAACCGAAAATTTTTTGGCAAATTCTAAACAGTTTTTGAGTAAAACCTGACAAATGTTGTCTAAAACAACATTTTTTCCATAAAACCCAACAAATTTTGACGAAACTCGATATATTCTGGCTGAAAGCTACGACTTGTTAAGCTAGCAAGAAGAACCTTGTTGAAACTCGGCCCGTCGTAATTACTACGGAGTCACTTGGTTTTGGTTATTTGCACTGATGTCATTCAGCATCATAGTTTCTGTTCACCTGAATAAGAGCAGAAGGTTCAGGTACTATTTCCACACCTGTGCTTCCTTCTTCTGTGGTTTAAGAGCCCAAGCTGCTACCATGAACGTCTGTTAACGTCATTGGGCACATTTTGGGTTTTTTGGCCAATAAAAAAGCAAACATCAGTAAGTTGTTGCTGACAGGCCTCGTTGAAACCCAGATTAAGACCCTCTTCTTCGTGGGTTTGGTTTGTGTTCGTACCTCGGTGGCGTTCGGCGACAGCAGCAGCGTGTTGGTGATCCGAGCTGCTGCTGTTACGTTTTCAGAGGTCAGTTCTTCGGGTCTGGACGTCAGGATCTGAGTGCTGCTCGCCAGCGTCTCTAAATCAGCTGCACTGGTGAGCTGAGGGAGGAAAGACATGATGCTTTTACTCATATGTTCCTTTGTGGATGCGCCGCCTGGCTGAAAGAGCAGCTGTCAAAGTGGAACTGGACATCCAGGCGTCTCAGGGAGTTCCACGAACTCATAGCCAGTGCTCTCTGTCCTCACATTTAGTTGTATGTCGCTTAGCGTCTGGTTGCACTGGAGGACCTGTGGACGGTCGAAACTCGGCGAGCCGCTGTTGGACGAACATCTGGCTGAAGCTTCAGGTTTACCGGCTGAGTGCAAACGGTGGCAGATGAAGGACAGAGAAACATCAGGACCATGTGGTAGACTAAGGCGTGGACGAGACACTGATGGAAGGGTTAAAGTGTACCACCACTCCTTCCTCCAGGACAACTAATGTGACACAAACCCAACACAGTCTGGCTAAAATCCAACAAACTCTGGCTAAACGCTAAAAAACTTTCAGTGAAACTTAAGGAATCAGTTTTTGGGTAAACCGAATGTATTTTGGCCAAAAATGTGGAAATTTAGACACACCGAGCACATTCGAATGAAACCCAACAAACACGGGTTAAAACCCAACACGTTTTGGCTAAAATGTAATTTTCCTGATAAAACCACACAGACGTTGCCTGGAACCCAACACCTTCTGACTGAAGCTTGAACAGCTGAAGCACAGAGACACCAGATGGATGGATGGATGCAGCTCACCAGCACTGGTTCCTGCTGGACAAACCTCCTCAGAATACGAGAACCATCCGACTGGTGACTGTGGGAACCTGAATCCATCCAACAGTTGTTCTCTGCAGAAGTTTTCTAAGGTGACAATAGAAGAAGAACAAGATTTTACTGAGATCAGTCCAAGGTCTGTCTGTATTGATCAGTTAATACTGATCAGCTGGTATTGATCTCCTACCGACTGAGCAGGTCTCTCCGATCCATTCATCAGGACAGATGCAGACTCCATTTGGA